TGCAACACGTGGCCAGGGACAATTCAGGCTTGAGCCTGGCTAGGAGGAAGGATGCTGATAATGTCAATGATGTCTGATAGTACCATCTTGGCATGCCACCAGAGATCAAGCGGAGGTAAAACCATGGAAAAAAGAGTCTCAACGATCATCTTGAACGTGTATCAGGAATAGAAAAGGAAGATGGTTCCAGACTATCCCTAGAGAACCACAGGAAGCTAGACGAGGTACGGAGGTTTTATAATAAGAAGTTCGAAGAAGAGCATGACGTTCACCGTAACCTGGCCTCGTCAGAGCAGTACTCGAGACTCAGCGAGAAGGGGGAATACCAATACGTGTCGGGAGTGATAGGAATAGCCTACAATCCCTTCTTAGACTCAGAAACTGGAGGCGCTCACAGGAACCACGAGGTGGCGGAGCTACTGAAGTTTTGGACAGAAAGAATAATGGAAATAGAAACGGTAGAGAAAGAGGGGCCGAGCCTGGGCCTGATTCTTGAGAAAACACCAGAGGTGGTAAGCATACCGCGTTCGAACAAGAGAGTTGAAGTGAACATGGGCGATGGAAATGGCTTGTTAATCACGAACTTGGGAGTGGTATGGAAGCTATTAAGACCCTCCTGGTGTCCACATCCCCACGCGAGTCTGATCGAGGAAACCTCCGAGCGAGTGAGGTTAGCACCAACGGAAGATGAAGATCTGGCAAAGTTGAGTGTGTTGCACAAGCTAATCTCACCTCAGACGCAGGAATCAGGCGAAAAGACGAGCAAGCTCGGGTCAGCAAAGAAGATGGAGCCGGGTAGCTGTCTGGATTCGACGTGTGGGAACGGAGAGCACGCCTGCGATGGACGGTCATGTGTCAGGATACTGTCCTTTCAAAAAGAAGACCTGGTCACTTGGTTTGAAGACATCACGGAAAGGGAGAAAAGTGAAGTGCAAATAGTAGCGGAGTGTTACGCGAGAACTACGGTGAACATAGCAACAGCTCTCGGATTCTTCTCGAGAATGTGTAGTCTGCAGTCACTGGAAAGACTAGAGTCTGAACATCATTTAGTGACGGCGTTGAGCGTAGAATCATGGCCTGGGGTGTTGCAGGTGACTCAAAAACACATCCGGAGCTGGAAGGTTGGTCTCGAGGCGGAAATGGGGTTTCCCATGAGCGAAGCTTATGGCCTGCCATTGAACGCAAAATCCTTGATAGGGTCAATGATGGCCAACTTGTGCGGAAGCCACTACCCACTGCACATAGCGATGGTGGAAGCATCCAGCCAGAGAGTACTGGTGGACAAGGCCTTCTCAGTGCCCAAGTGCGTGAGGTTGGCTCGGATATCGCATCACTCGCACAAGTTGTTGAGAAAAATCAGAGGGACAGTACCAAAAGAATTGAGAGATGACTTGAGTGAAATCTGGGGAGAAGAACTTTTGAAGTTGGAGAGTGAGAACACAAGCGATCACGAGAGACAAAACGTGATCGGAAAACCTGTGGGAGGTGCTCCAAACATGGAAGATAATGACACGATGCATGAGAAAATGATAGAGCTTGAGCCTCTCTTGGAAGCCTCGGGGGAGCGTAACCTCAGGAGCATTGAGATCACCCATGAAGAATGCCCATGCCACTGTTTGGCACAAACGGTGTGGTATCCAGATCACAAGAACCTTTGCCTGGTGTGGGATATGGAAGAAATTCGGTCGATCGGACTACCGGATCACCGGCAGAAGGTGACGCTCTTAGTAGTGAGTACGATGTTGGCTCTGAGATGGATAGAAGAGAATATAACGAAGTATCGGGAAGCGACGACGGCAACGGCTGAGTCAATATATGCGATAGACTACAGCAGGAGACTCGAGTTGTTTGAGACTGCGTGCAAAGTATTCGCCATACCGACGGAAGTCAGACACATATGGAGCCGTTTGAGGTACTTTCCATGGTTTCGGGCGACACTGACGTCTTGGTTGTACATGACAACGAAAGATCACATGAGAAAGCATCAAAAGGAGTATCGACAGTTCCAGGCCGAGATTGGGCCAGAAGCTTTCAAGAGACCCCTGTTGACCCACCGAAATGCGATCACGACAGGATGGAAGAGAGTGGGTAAGATGTCTAGAGACAATACCAAAGCGAGGGAATCGATACTAGAGGAGGACCTGGCGAAGAACGTGAGCTTGAGCCTGCACAACTCCTTTTGTTTGAACCGGGAATCTAGGGTGAAGGCACTACCCAACCAGGCAAAGAGGTTGCAGGAGCAAAGAGAATGGATGCGATCCTATGAACAGCTGAAGGCTTGGGAGGAAATCGTGATTAGCTCCGATGATGAAGAAGAACTGTTGAGACAGTTTGCCGTATCAAGTACTTCAGGGTGTGGCACCTCCAAGGCGAAGAGTGCGAGATGAGTGGATGGTTCGAATGGATCTTGAGTCTCGAGAGGGAAGGGGGGCTTGAGTGTGGATCCGGGTGAAACCTGGGTTCACAGAAAAAGAAATTTTAACGAATCAAATATTGTTATTAATATACTATATTTACTATATAAATCAAAATGCTGCATGAAAATTTCCTGATTGAATGGGACAAAAGAAATTTTAAATGATTGGCTTTAAAAGCAAGAATTCAAGGGTGCAGGTGTGTGCAGATTTTGATTGCTGTTTAGCGATAGTGTGAAAATTTTACATGGCCGTGAATTTTGGGGTGTAGATAAACTTAAGTCTGCTGCGAACTTCTGTAAATGACCACTGGCACTGTACCTTGAGCAACACTTGATTTTCTGGGACTCACTGGCAGACGACAGTACGCGATGAGGACATCGATCTCGAGTCCGGGGAGTATGTGCCAGTCGGTCATATTTGGAAGTTTGACCTTGAGAGAAGCAAAAAACACTTAATTTTGGGGTAATATTTAATTTTTCAAAAATTCGAATGGAGCCTGTCATGCACGATTTTCTCGCGATAACTGAAAGTCAAAAAAGAGAAGTCAGAACAATCGAGTGACAATCGCGGGAAAGTTGCAAGATAAATCAGTAGGAAATTGCTATTCGCAATTTCCGTCACAGTAATAATCTAGAGTAGAGCTGTCCCATTCGAAACAGAAAGAAGCGTATTCCCACGAACTGGATTATTGTGACTTGACTGGAGTATTATTCTAAACTGGACTAGAGTGAACCTTCGGTGGAAAGGTGGACAGCTTGAGTGTCCCAATGGTTCACGAGAAACTATAGTCTAGAGTACAAACTTGTTCTTGTTGTTAAAACTGACAAACATTAAACTCATTTTAGTTACATTATTTAATTCTCGAGTTAATTACCGACTGAAGTACTTCCCTTTCTTGAGCGTGCTACAATGTGAGTACTAAATTAAATTTCTGGAGTGTGTTTTATAATTGTTATGTTGAGGCAAGGCGAGTTTTAGGTTGTTCCATCTGAAATGGATCAAAGTTCCACTGTCTAATAAAAAATAACTTAACGGATTGTTCTAACCCGGTTTTTAACGGCGTTCATGTATTTTGGGTATCTAGTGACCTAAGTATGAGGACGTTCTTAATTCTAGAGTGGGGGGATATTTTAGTAGTAGCCTTTAAGCTGTAACGGGTCGTAGTCTCATGTCACAAACGAACCGAATTGGCTCCGACTGATTTGAGGTAGAAAAACACAAGAGATAGTGTCCCTGACTCTTGAGCCAATAGTTATAGGGCCTATTTTTCTTAAGCCTCATGTGTGACTGCAGTAGACGAATGTTACACATGCAAACAATCGTGCGAGCAAAGCACTGAAGGCCCTATACTGCATCAAAAGAAACTTATCACCTGCCACAACCATGAACAACAGGAAAAATGCATATAAAAGCTATGTAGTACCTATCGTTAGCTATGCATCATCAGTCTGGAAACCCTCAAAGCAAGATCTTGCCACCTTAGATAAAGTGCAACAGAGAGCAACGAAATGGATACTTGGAAATAAACAAATTCCTTATAAATCGAGGTTAACCACTCTTCAAATTCTTCCCTTGTCTCTTTACCAAGAAATGCATGTACTACTTTTGTTCGCGAACATTCTAAGAGGAACGACCGACCTGGAATGGTGGCGATTTATAGAAATCACTGAATCAAATCGACCGAAAACAACAAGACGTTTCAACGCGAAGAACTTTCGACTTCATAAATGCGAATCTGATTTCTGGTAACGCGCCTGCAGCCTGACAAACATATTTCACGATCACCTGAAATATGAAGTCCTATTAAGTGACTCGCTTAAACCAAAAATATCAAGAGTGTACTGGCAATTCTACGAGAAAATCTACAATGAAGTCGATACCTGCACCTTGAGAATCAACTGCGGATGCACAAGATGCTTAAACTTCAAAAAACTAAACTCATTAAACTAAAATATGATTGATCTCATAAACTTGATTCGGGAGCTAACTCCCATGGATGTATCCTAAATCCTGTTTTATTATAATTATTATTATTAGAGCAAAAAATGACAAGTATAAAGATCTTGTAGATGATGGATATATTTTTCAACCGCTAGCTTTTGAATTTCGGGGCGCGGCCGGCCCCAGCACAGAAATTTTTTTGAGCAAGCTTTGTAAGAACCTAAGCATATGCACTGATGAACCCAGAGCAGGCAGCTTTTTAAAACAGAGAATGTACCTGGCAATACAGATTGCGAACGCCGCTTGTGTACTCGGAACAATAAATGACAAAATAATTTTCGACGAATTTTTTTATGTGTAACACTTGTATATTATATTTTCTCGTGTCGAGTTGCGTGTTCTTATTGAAGAAACGTAACCCGTATCGACTTTAATTGAAAAGGACGTAAACACTTGTCATCTTCTTTTATCATTATCACTTCCATATCTAGAAAATTCCAAGGATTTTGACTGGAATACGTGATGAAGGGACTCCTGACTGTAACCTCGGTTACTATGATACTTTTGACCTTCCGATTACCCAAAAATAATAATAAAAAAAATTCCAGACTTTACACAAAATGCGCGAAAACTTAAAATCTGATTTTAAAGATAGAAATGAGTGGTCCAGAAACCGTAAAACCGGTACCTGAGGCTCCTCCTAACCAAGGAAAGAAAACACCAAGGGATTTTCTGAAAAGTGTCATCGGAAAACCAGTCGTTGTGAAACTAAATTCAGGCGTTGATTACCGAGGTATGAGTGAGAGAGTTTATGCTTCTGTGTTTTACACAAGGGTTTGGATCATTTGACGGCTGAGCTGACTTTCTGCACCGGGTTGCAATGTCCACAGTTGCATTTAATCGATTGTATTTAAATCAAAACAGTGAGAAGCGAGAGTTTGAAGCATTTCAGAAGGTTTTGTACTCTGTTCTGGCACCATATTAAGGTTTCGAAGAATCAATAATTTATTTGGAAAAAAAAGTTTTTTTTCGCTCGCTTCGCCATAAGTAAGAAATGCGTATTTGAATTTTTTTCAATGGAAAAAATCTTTGTTGTTTATATTACCCAAATCAAGCTAGATTGCTGGTTTAGTGTTATGAGATCAGTCCACATTTTTCTTGTGAAAGACTCGGCATCTATCTGTGTTACATTCTTGTGTTCTAATTTACCCGATAGATATTGCTAGTTGAAAATTTTTCAATGAGCCGATTCGTGGCTTATTGTTTCAGTAATGTGAATATTGGGCGGTGCCGGATCCCGTTGTCTGAGTTATTTTATTTTACTTTTTCAAGATAAACTTTTTGTGTTTTCACGCTGCCATTAGCAGGCGCTATCGAATTAAATTAATTCATGAAGGAATTATGCAATTGAGGCTATTCCCTTTCAAGTTTCAGATCAGATAAACAGTTAAATAGTTGGGTGCTGTCAGGGTACTCTCAGGGGTCGCAAATCTTGCCTCCAAATCTCATTTTTCAAATCCTTGTTGTTTACGATGATATGATGTCTTTTATGATTTAAAAAATCAATAAAACTAAGATAATAAAAAAATTATATAACTTTGAAGATCTTAATCTTGTTGTTGGACACTGTGAGGGTACTCTGAGCGGTTCCAAATCTTGTCTTTTAGTATGAGTGCTTGCACCTTAGTAGTTTTCGAGATCCGACTGTTTTTAGAATTTTTGTTACTGGTTTTGCCTCCAAATTTCACTTTTCAAATCCTTGTAGTTTTAGAGATATGACGTTTTTATTGATTTTTTCAAAAATTTTCAATAAAACTTAGAAAATAAAAAATTTCCATAACTTTGAAAATCCTAATCATGTTGTTGTAAATAGCGAGGGTACCCTGAGTGGTTGCAAATCTTGTCTCGGAATATGAGTGCTGAAATTCTTGTAGTTTTCGAGATATGACGGTTTTTAGGATTTTAAAATTTTTTAGAGAACTTTGATATAAAAAAATTTCACAAAAGTTTGAATTTTTCATCTCTATAGTGAGGCTCTGTCAGAGAATACTCAGGAGTTGCAAGTTCTGCCTCCAATTGTGACTGCTCAAATCCTTGTAGTTTTTCAGATATGACGTTTTTCGTGAATTTTTAAAAAGTTTTCAGAAAATTTAATTTTTTTCTTAAAAATTCGAAGTTGCCAATTCTGTAGTAAGGGCTGTCAGAAGATTATCAGGATCTTAGGGGTTGCGAACCTTTCCTCCAAAAAAGAGTGCTCAAACCTTGTTAGTTTTCGAAATTCGACGTTTTTTATGATTTACAAAAAAAAATTAAAACTTAGATAATAAAAATTTTCTATAACTTTGAAGATCCTAATCTTAACGTTGGAAACTATGAGGATACTCTAAGCGGTTGCAAATCTTGTCTCTTATCATGAATGCTCGCACCTTAGTAGTTTTCGAGATCTGACTGTTTTAAGAATTTTTATGACGGGTTTTGCCTCCAAATCTCACTTTTCAAATCCTTGTAGTTTTCGAGATAAGACGTTTTTTATGATTTTTTCAAAAGTTTTCAATAAAACTTAAAAAATAAAAAATTTCCATAACTTTGAAGACCTTAATCATGTTGTTGTAAATAGTGAGGGTACTCTGAGTGGTTGCAAATCTTGTCTCGGAATATGAGTGCTGAAATTCTTGTAGTTTTCGAGATATGACGGTTTTAAGGATTTTAAAATTTTTTAGAGAACTTTGATATAAAAAAATTTCACAAAAATTTGAATTTTTCATCTCTATAGTGAGGCTCTGTCAGAAAATACTCAGGAGTTGCAATTTTTGCCTTCAATTGTGACTGCTCAAATCCTTGTAGTTTTGCAGATATGACGTTTTTCGTGTATTTTAAAGTTTTCAGAAAACTTAATTTTTTTCTTAAAAATTCGAAGTTGCCAATTCTGTAGTAAGGGCTGTCAGAAGATTATCAGGATCTTAGGGGTTGCGAATCTTGCCTCCAAAAAAGAGTGCTCAAACCTTGTTAGTTTTCGAGATTCGACGTTTTTTATGATTTAAAAAAATATCAATAAAACTTAGATAATAAAAATTTTCTATAACTTTGAAGATCCTAATCTTAACGTTGGAAACTATGAGGATACTCTAAGCGGTTGCAAATCTTGTCTCTTAGTATGAGTGCTTGCACCTTAGTAGTTTTCGAGATCTGACTGTTTTTAGAATTTTTGTTACTGGTTTTGCCTCCAAATTTCACTTTTCAAATCCTTGTAGTTTTAGAGATATGACGTTTTTATTGATTTTTTCAAAAGTTTTCAATAAAACTTAAAAAATAAAAAATTTCCATAACTTTGAAGACCTTAATCATGTTGTTGTAAATAGTGAGGGTACTCTGAGTGGTTGCAAATCTTGTCTCGGAATATGAGTGCTGAAATTCTTGTAGTTTTCGAGATATGACGGTTTTTAGGATTTTAAAATTTTTTAGAGAACTTTGATATTAAAAAATTTCACAAAAATTTGAATTTTTCATCTCTATAGTGAGGCTCTGTCAGAGAATACTCAGGAGTTGCAAGTTTTGCCTTCAATTGTTACTGCTCAAATCCTTGTAGTTTTCGAGATACGACGTTTTTTATGATTTTTTCAAAAGTTTTCAATAAAACTTAAAAAATAAAAAATTTCCATAACTTTGAAGACCTTAATCATGTTGTTGTAAATAGTGAGGGTACTCTGAGTGGTTGCAAATCTTGTCTCGGAATATGAGTGCTGAAATTCTTGTAGTTTTCGAGATATGACGGTTTTAAGGATTTTAAAATTTTTTAGAGAACTTTGATATAAAAAAATTTCACAAAAATTTGAATTTTTCATCTCTATAGTGAGGCTCTGTCAGAAAATACTCAGGAGTTGCAATTTTTGCCTTCAATTGTGACTGCTCAAATCCTTGTAGTTTTGCAGATATGACGTTTTTCGTGTATTTTAAAGTTTTCAGAAAACTTAATTTTTTTCTTAAAAATTCGAAGTTGCCAATTCTGTAGTAAGGGCTGTCAGAAGATTATCAGGATCTTAGGGGTTGCGAATCTTGCCTCCAAAAAAGAGTGCTCAAACCTTGTTAGTTTTCGAGATTCGACGTTTTTTATGATTTAAAAAAATATCAATAAAACTTAGATAATAAAAATTTTCTATAACTTTGAAGATCCTAATCTTAACGTTGGAAACTATGAGGATACTCTAAGCGGTTGCAAATCTTGTCTCTTAGTATGAGTGCTTGCACCTTAGTAGTTTTCGAGATCTGACTGTTTTTAGAATTTTTGTTACTGGTTTTGCCTCCAAATTTCACTTTTCAAATCCTTGTAGTTTTAGAGATATGACGTTTTTATTGATTTTTTCAAAAATTTTCAATAAAACTTAGAAAATAAAAAATTTCCATAACTTTGAAAATCCTAATCATGTTGTTGTAAATAGTGAGGGTACCCTGAGTGGTTGCAAATCTTGTCTCGGAATATGAGTGCTGAAATTCTTGTAGTTTTCGAGATGTGACGGTTTTTAGGATTTTAAAATTTTTTAGAGAACTTTGATATAAAAAAATTTCACAAAAGTTTGAATTTTTTATCTCTATAGTGAGGCTCTGTCAGAGAATACTCAGGAGTTGCAAGTTCTGCCTCCAATTGTGACTGCTCAAATCCTTGTAGTTTTTCAGATATGACGTTTTTCGTGAATTTTTAAAAAGTTTTCAGAAAATTTAACTTTTTTCTTAAAAATTCGAAGTTGCCAATTCTGTAGTAAGGGCTGTCAGAAGATTATCAATTGCCTTGCCTCTAGATTTTGAAGATATACTCAAAGCTAAACATGTTTCAAACGTAATCAACTGTCGATGGACATACTGAAGAAACTTATAAGGATTTTTTAAATGAAATAATCTAAAATTTGTTCGCGCAAAATTTGTTTTCCTGCGATTTGATTTGGTCTAGTTGCGAAATGTTTCTAGTTTCAAAAATGAATTTAATTTGCTGAATTCCAAGCGAAATAGAAAAATTACATATTGATTCAGTAATCTCCTAATGCGTTAGCTTTAAGAAAAATGCCAATCATAAACACATGAAATTTAAAGAGCTTAAACATGAAGTTTTTTTTCTACGATATTAGAAATGTTCAAAAATTTTATATCATATCTTTATATCAAAATATTATATCAAATTTATATCAATTCAAATAAGCGTGGTTTTCCACTACTGGGCCGTCTTTTTTTTTAAATACAACTTTGATGCCCGATGCATAATTGTTGGCTGTGTTTTGCTTGAAGGTGTGTTGGCATGTCTTGATGGCTATATGAATATTGCATTGGAGCAGACTGAAGAATACGTCAATGGACAGCTGCGCAACAAATACGGGGACACATTTATTCGTGGTAACAATGGTAAATATACTGCTGACAAAATTGAGATAAACATGACGCGATTAAGCAGAATTTTTACGCTTGCGATTAGCAAGCGTTACGGAAAAGGAATATTGACTTTTTTTTCGAATTTACACTTTTCTATAGACTTGATCCGTTATACAAAATCATTTGATAGCTTTATCAGTTGAATCATTCGATAGCTTGGCTTATAATAAACTCAATTTCTCAGATTTTTTTTGGCACACTTGGCTTAGAGGTAACGTAACGACTACGCCTGTGACGGCAAAGGTTTTAGGTTCTAATCTTGCCAGGTTCTTTTTTTTTCAAATGGAAAATTTTTCGTTCCGTTACGAACCTCCGTTTCAGCAAAATTTTTGGCCTTTTGTTTGTCTGCGTTTGTTTTGTTTTTCGCCGTAGTTACTACATCACGGTTTTTTGATGTTAGCGATTTTTTTTGTTGTTGTATGTATTATTAGTTTATTCGTAACTTGTAAATTTACTTCGCTTAACTTTATTATTTTCGTTTGTGATGGAGGACATGCGTATTAGAATTTCCGATTTTCCAAAAATTTTTCGTGACAACGGTTGTTTACCCTGCTTTTGTTGCTCGATAAATTTTTGGAATACTTATTTAACGACAGCAATTGTGTTTCTGGGCGTTTTTTTCTTCAAAAATATTGTTCTCGACGAAATTTTGAAATTTTTGTGCAAGTGATTTTTTCGAAAAGTCTAACTAAGTGGTTTTTTCGTGGTTTTTTGTGTAAGTGGTTCTCGACCAAATTTTCAATTTTTCGGCTTACTAGTTTTCCTTCTTTTTCTGTCTGCTAGATTGTGCTATGTTTGTGTGGCTTCGCAATTTTGGTGAGGCTGCGTTTCGCCTTTGTCTTCTGATTTTGTACATAGTTCTTTTTTAGTATCAATGAACGTAGCGAAGACACTTGCATAGGCCATGTTGATTATTTCAGAAAGTCTAAAATGCTCTAATGAACTCAGATAAGTACTTTCATACAGCGTTGGGAATGTTTTAAAACATGGCAAAAAAACAAAGTTTTAAAACAGAAATTATAAACAGTGACTTTTATCGCAAAAAACTAACATTGTATGGGAGGCGAACCGCTGCGATAGGGGTATGAGCCGCCTTCCCTTATTGAGCTGGCTCGATCTCAGTAATGTTGCACCCGATCATCTTAAACAGTTTGTAGCAAAAAGAAGAGATGATTATTTGACTCCCGTTTTTCTTGCCACATATCTATTAGATCAGCGGTGTAAGGGCAGAAAGTTAGATCTGAACAAACTGTAAAAAAAACAATAAAACATGTGTTATATTAAAAAAAAACGCTGTTTAATTGATTTTTTCAATAAAAAACGTTTTTTCCCAACCCTGCTTTCATATATGAATGTACTTATCCATATTAGTTTTTGTAGTTCAATTCAAATTTAATTGCCAGTTTTAAAAGCTAGTCGAATTCCCCTTACTAACTACAAAAGTGGTGGCGAGAAAAAACGTGATCGCATGTGAATTTAATTTTTTGAATTCACAGCGGAATACAATGTCAACTATTGATCCAATTTTTCATTTTTGGTTAATTCGATCAAAAAAAGTATCGATCAACAATGATTCTGGAAATTAAAACAGGTTAAAGGCCATGTAATATTTTTTTTGAGACGAGGAAGCTGAAGATTTCTTTTCTCGGTCTCCTTTGGGTTCAATGACAGGTTTCCAACTGTCTGTTGGCTATGCTTCCAATATTTGGATAATTTCTTCATTAAGATTGTTATAATATATTATCAACATGGTTTATGTTAGCTTGGATGGTGTATTTAAGGGTCAATGAACGTAGTGAAGTCACGTAAAATAGGTCGTGATTGTTTTTTTTTCATTAGGAAACAGTCTTTACACTTGCGGCTTGCGAGCGTAGTGTAATAGTATGAACGTTCTTTTTTTTCAACGTAGCTCTCGCAGATAAAAATGCTCATTTGGTTGCCCCTGTAAAATTTGAGTCGAACAGGAAAATTGTTAAGGTCACGAACAACGTGATCGACTTGTAGTATCGAAAGTCGATTTTAATTTTCCTATTTCTCAGCAGAATAAACAATAAACCAGTTGATCCAGTTTTCTCAAATTGGTTTATCTTTTCAAAACAAAGTAAATCATAATTTATTCATAAAATTCAAATAGTCTTTTTGTAGAATTTTGAAGTTTTTTCAAAAAGAAAGTCTTTTTTTTCAATTTTATTGCGTTCATGACTTTTTCCAACAGTCTGTTGGCTATGTTTTTAAGTTCAATCCAAGTTCGTGTACCAAAATGAAGGTACATTAAGTTTTTTTAAATCTAGAACGCGGAAATGGCGCGAAAAAACGTGAATGACCTTTAGTTTCGGAAGTAGATTTAAGCTTAAAGATTTTCAGCACAATATAAATTACCTACTGATTACGTTTTTACACAAACAAAGCGTAGTGTATTATTACGAAGAGTTTTTTTCCAACCCATGTCGCAAATTAAAGTGCTCATTCGGTGGCACTTTTGGTATTTTTCAATTTAATCATATTTAGGCTTCTTTGAGCAGAAATAAATTAATGGAAAATGTTGCTTTGTTTTTGACTAGTTTTAAGTCCTAGTTGAAAAAAATGTTTTATGAAAATGTATATGGGATTTAATGTTTTTTGTTTTTTTGCAACGCTTTGCAAATTTTTTTTTAACTTTTGCAGAAACATCAATCTTGTTTCAAAAACTACTGAAGCAATTTTCAAAAAAGATGGTACCAATGGAAAAACTGGCTGCTCTTCTATATGCCTGCATGTTTTGCTAGTCTTTTTTCATATTACCTCACGTTCTACGGCCTTCGAAAGTTTTTTCAGTAGGGGAATTTTTGGCCTACTTCTTTGAATTTTTTCATTTTCCTAAATATTAAATGCACAAATCAGAGATGAAGGTTACAATCAATCGGATAAGTTATGAGATTTTGCCCTCTCAAGCGGCTCTTACCTGGATTCGGTAGAAAAAGTTATGGCCTCAAGCAAGCTCAATTTTTTGACATTTTGGTTAATTTTTTAAACTTTTAACTTTTCTCAAAAACTGCCCTGCCAAATCGGAGATTAGGGGTTTAACCGAATAAAAAATCTGATATGCGATTCTTACCCGCGTAAGCGGCTATGCCCTGCCTTTTGAAAAAACTTGTAGCCTTAGAAAATGTCCACTTTTTGAAAATTCTCCCGTTTTTTGGAAAGTTTTTTTTTTGTTTCAAAAACTAACCTGTTGAATCTGAGGTTGATAGATCATTAAAACTAACATGGCGCTTGTATTTGGCCTGCATAATCTGTTTTACCTGTTTTTTTAAACAAAAAAGCTGCTATGGATTTCGGAAAAATTCCTTTAGTTTTTTAAACCTTTTTAAAAGAAATTTCGTCTTTATTCTCGAAAACTACTTATTCTCGAAAGCTAAATCTGATTCTCGAAAATTATTTATTCTCGAAAGCTAAATCTGATATTAAGGACTCAATCTACAAAATCAGGCTGCGGAAATCTTTAGTCTAAAAGTCATGGTGCAGAAAGCAGAGACTTTTATTATGCATTGGTAGAGAAAATTTTAAGGATGTAGGAAAAGTCGATTTGGGAATCCTTTTCAGTTTTTTCCGAAAGCTACCAAGCCAGATCTAAAGATTTCAATTGAAAGAACTAGAAGGCGTTTTCTTCTTTAAATAAAGGCTTACCCCCTGCATTAGCAGGGAAACAAAAGGGCTTAGCGTAAAGTCCTTTTTTTGAAGCTTTGAAAATTACGCATTTCCGTATCAGTACAATATATGACCAACATGGTGCCTGCATGTTTTGCTAGTCTTTTTTCATTTTAACTCACGTTCTACGGCCTTCGAAAGTTTCAGTAGGGGGATTTTTGGCCTTTTTTCGAGTTTTTTCGTTTTCTTAAACATTAAATGCACAAATCAGAGATGAAGGTTACAATCAAACGAACTAACTATGGGATATTCCCTTCTCAAGCGGCCCTTATCTGAATGAACACCCAGCCAAATCTGAGATAAAGACTTCAGTTGAAAGAACTAGTAGTAGTTTTCTTCTTTAAATCAGCGCTTAATCCTCTGCATTAGCAGGAAACACTAGGGTTTAGGATAAAGTCCATTTTTGAAACTTTGAAAATTACGCATTTCCGTATCAGTACAATATATGAACAACAATACTAGAGCATATAGATTCAGCATTAGCTAGACCACTAGTTTACTTGCAAGCGACCTTTGCGCGGATTCGAGGCCGTGAAATTGCTAATCAACTGGTGAGATATCCTTTTCTGGAAGTTTTAAATAATTTTGTTTTTTTTTGGTCAAATTTTTGCTGCATAAAATTGGCAGTTAAATATAGACTGTAGCTGCTTATTGGTAGCTAGTGTTAGTAAAACTACAAGCGGCCGTGGAGCAGATGTGAGAACGTGATACTCCTAGTCTCAACAAAAAAATTTTCAAGGTGTTTTAATCTTTTCCTTAATTCATTTTGTCTTACCTGTTTAGAGCTCTTTTTTGCGTTTTCCTCGCTTGTGTTAGCGAAGCGCTGCTTGGCCTCTGTGTTTTTCTTTGGGCGTATTTTATGAAAACAAGCGATATATAATATTCGTGAAAAGTAGAGATCTTCAACGTGATATGTTTCTTCGAAATTCTGAAGTATCAAAAAGTCAATCATTTCTTTTCGGTTTTACTTAATTCCTCCCTCCAATGAAATTTTTCCGGTTTTCTGTTGTCTCTTAATTTCAATTAGGTTTATGTTTCAGTTTTGTACATCAGTACTACAAAGCGAAGATGAGAGGAGACACATAAACGTTTACATTGATTTTTTTTTGCTTACCCTTGCTTTATTGAATTCAATTTTTTTTCTGCTTCTTTTTTCTTAATTTGATCATTTGAGTGCTTTGTATGCATTAACGAATTGAAGAATGTGTTCGAGGAACTTGAGATGTAACATAGAAAACCATTAAAGGGGAGACACCTGCAGTTTTTGTGGTTGGGAAGTTCATGTTCAAACTTCAAGTTGCTAAAATCAGGTCAACCTCAGTTGACAAAACACAAAACCGCAGAAATCCTGGTTATATCGAGAAACTTATCTTGGAAATTGATTCAGTTTCATTCGAAGCCATTAAGTTCTGCAAGAAAATAAAACAGCAGGTTTCATTGGAACTATAAATTGTTATTTTGAACATTTTTAAGCGCAGTAAAGTACATTCAAGGGCCATCAAGCAAGATAGCAGCCATTTTGGCGACGGTGTTTTCAATTGTGTTTTCTAAGGGAAGCTTTGTGCGAAGTGCATTTGAGCTGCGTGTTTATTTAACTGAGCTCTCATCTCTCTCTCTCTCTCGTCGTACCTTATCTGAGTTCTCTGCTATCAACCATGACACAGATGGTGTTCAAGAGCAAGTTTGATGACGTCCAAATTCCAGAGAAGCCCTTCTCCGAGTTCTTCTTTGAGCACTTCGACCGGTAAGGATTAGCGTAATGCAATACTTTAAAGCAAAATATAGTGTTTTACACTTGTTATCAAAATTAAACGCAATTTCAGCTGTTAACACTAAGCAGCCACTGCAATTTTGGACATTTTTTCAATTTTTTTTACTAAGTTTCTACATAAATTATGAGAGCAGATGATCATAAATATCCTCTATCGAAGTATCAATATTTGGCTGAAGTGACTCACCAGCTTATTCAGGGTCTGTTCTCGCTAGAATTCAAGGTCGTAATTAATGAATTTTCGAACGAATGGTGAACGAAGTGACATAAGGACAAGTTTAGTTTATATATGTAAAATCTTTGGTTCCATCTGGGGACCTGCTAGATTGACCTTGTGATCGCTATGCTATGTCTTCTGGCGCACACTGAAACAAAAGAGTGCAGAACATAAAGTATTTTGAACGATGCAGTTGCCTTTGAATTAAACATATTTACCTTGGTGTTTTCACATCATGGCGCAGCCAGCTGAAAGAAAAGGGGGGGGGGGGGAACCCACTGAATGTTATATCATTTTGGGATGCGCGAACGCCGGAGCCACCTACATACTGGGAAGAGTATGTGAGAAAAGGCGAAAAAACTGAAAGACCGAAACAAAGGTCTAAAGTTGTTCAGGCGCTGTTTTAAAATTGATTTATTAATATATTCATTTGCGTGTTTTATGACATTGAACTCTGCTTGTAACTACTGTAATTTATGTCAGTTCGATATTCTTTGTTGACATGTAATTTTCGAAAATTACGGTTAATTTACGCATGAAATGAAATGTTGCCAATCAACCAGCTACCCGAAATCGATCTACCTCAGAACCGAAACGAGGCAGAAATAGTCTGAAAATTCCAGGTTTTGCATTCCGATTCAGGTTTTCCCAACGTCATAAAATTGTCACAAACAGCTGCGTTTAGAAAAATTGTCGTGCTGATATAATCAATTATCTTGCTGAGACTGTTTCTTATCGCATGAATAACTATTTTTACTCAGCTTATTCGAGATGGAAAACTTTCTGCAGATGGCGAAAGCTGGCGCTTTTGTACCCGCAAAAAAAGTTCTTGTCTCATTTTTAATAACTTCATCGAGGGTTAGCTCTGCTCGTTTAACCTCTTGGTACTTGTAAAAATTTCGTGTTAATTTGAAGTAAATGTTGAAACAGGCTATTTGATAACGGAAACTCGAATTTGCGTTCAAGTTTGCCGACTAGTGTATGTCGAATACGGACTGTCAAGTCAAGTTATCAGCGCATGCTTTTCAGTTTAGTAGATAAAGATAAGTTTGTTGGAAAATAGTATGCAGATAAGGTCGCGCTTGTTTCCCGAGTTTTGCATGTTTTTATGGCGGGTTTTAATTTTTTGATATTTTAATTTCGAGCGAAGAAATTGAAAAAAATAGACTTATAATAGGCTTATAATGAGCTCATAATAGTAGTCTCAAAAATGCTAAACTTTCTGTGCTGCTTTTGCACAATACCTGGCATTGCTTCCTGTTCTATTTTAACTTGCAGGTACGGGGATGAAGTGGCTCTAGTGGAGGCAGTGTCCGGCCAGACCTACACATTTAGACAGATGAAGCAGCTGTGTGAGAGAGTAGCCAGTGGCATGCTCAGAAAGGGATGGAAGAAAGGAGACGTCGTCTGCATTTTCAGGTGGGTCCCAATAAAAGAAGAAGAATTTATTTATCCAAAATCATGTAGAAACAAACATCATAAATTTGTTTTCAACTAGTTATTACACAAGCAAAGCTTGTGTGATATTACGAACTCTCTTTTTTTCCAACCTAAGTCGCAAATATAAGTGCTCTTTTTGAAAAAGCTCATTTATTGCAGTATATGCATAAGATCGATAACCAGCGATTAAGAACAGCCAATGCTAAGGATATTAACGCAGACTATTATTTTACATATAGCACTTTAGCTTTAAGGCATCATGGATCTGTAGCGTAGACGTAGGGAAGGAGACCAGCAGCAGAGGGTTCGAATCCGGGCAGGGTCAGATGTTTTAAATGGAATTTTTCGTATACCAGTTAAAATGCGTCCGCTCTATAAATTGAGGCATGTTAGTTGGAAGTTTCTTTTTGTTTTCAAATTGACTGTTATTGCTAATGAGTCATAATTGGCTGGCGTCTATTAGCAATTATAGAGACTCATAATTGGCGTGCGTCACTTATGAAATTTTATAGACTCAAAGTTTTTCCCATTCAGTTTTTCCCAGTAGCTTTATCGGTCATATTTTTGCTTTTGTATGCGAAGTGCAACTTCGCCTCTGTGTAAACAATTGATATCGAACCATTCATTCCAGTACATGAAATTAGAAAGGATAGACGAAACGCGCTTTGAGCTCCTACTTAAGGTCTACCCTCTATTCAAAGAAATTAGAGTAAATAGTAGAAAAAAAATAAAGTTCGAATTTTTTGAAGCGGTTCTTTTGAATCTTCTTGGACATTTAGCACAACCCAGTAGCATACACTCAGTTCAGGCTGTCATCGATAATATTATACGATGTCTCAATAATTGATGGATAAACAAAAAGGAGAACAATTGGAAAGGACTAGAAATAATGGGTAAAAATTGCGCTCAGACGAGCCCATTTATCTTATTGATAATCCAGCAATTTTCGCTAAGAATGAGATTTTTGAAATTTTTGAAAAAAATGCGATATCTCGAAAAATACAAGGATTTAGAAGTTCATACTTTAGGGTAGAATCGCAACCCTAGAGTGATTATCTGTTAGCATTTAAATCCTGTGTAAAAATTTTGATAACACTGAATATCTACTGAGATAAATGCTGTACCAATTCGTTATTTTCCAGTATAATATTATTTTTGAATTTATGAACGAAAACATTTTCTTACTTTACTGTTTTTTTTCAAAGTTTTCCGGCAGCAAATCATTTTCACTCATCATTTGAAAAAGGTTTCATTGTATTTTTACAGAATGAGGTAATGAATGTTGTGTTTTTCGAAATTCTTGTTTTAATTGCAAAACTTTTTATAGAAAATAGAGAATTCAGAATGCTTGTGGAAAGTCTTTGATTCAACGATCTGAAACTAAATTTTAACAAATCGTACCCATATAATTCATGCACTGTTAGTGTTTTGTTGTCAATAAAAGATTGTGTAATTGAAGCATAATTCTTTTTGAAATAAGTCATGCGAACAATGACGTAACAATAATTCTATATATTAAATGAAAGTCAGAATGAGCTGTGGACGCAATGTTTATCTGAACACAATGCTTAATAATATTAGGAGACATTGTTTCAGAGGCTATCGAGCGTAAATTTTAAGAATTTATCAGAGCAACCATCAGAGGAAAATAAACTCGATCCAACTTGAAGGCTAGACAGTATCTGCCTATTTTCTGTCCAAAATTTCATTTCATTTCTGTCTGGAACTGAGATTGTCAAACGTTCAGTCTGGAACGAATCACTTAACAACAGCAACCTCAATGCTAAAAAAGAAACTTTTGGCGAACCGATTCGGTCTATGAATTAAATGGACATATTTCAACGTTTCATATCTTGAAAAGCTTGCTTAGAACATTTTTTTCGCGAACCGAATCAGTCTACGAAATAACTTGAAACAGTTCAAAGTTTCATAGCTTTAAAAGCTTTTCGCGAACTGATTCAGTTGATGAAATAGCTTGAAATATTTCACAGTTGCTCAGCTCTAATAGCTTGTTAAAAAAAGTTCAAATTTTCGCGAAAAGATTCGGTCTACGAATTAACCTGAAAAAGTTCAAATTTTCTTAACTTGAAAAGCTTGCTTAGAAAACTTAAAGCTTTGCGCGGACCAATTCAGTTTGTGAAATAATTCGAAATGATTCAAAGTTTCATAGCTTTAAAAGCTTGCTTAGAAAACTTTAATTTTTTTCGGGATTCGATTTAGTACACGAAATAACTTGCAATATTTCGAAGTTTCATAGCTTGATTAGGTTGCTTCGAAAAACTTAAAGCGTTTCGCGAACTGATTCGGTTTATGAAATAACTTGAGAAATCTCAAATTGCTTAGCTCTAACAGCTTGCTTAGAAAACTTGAACTTTGCGTGGACCGATTCAGTTTGAAATAAATTGGAATAATTTAAAGTTTCATAGCTTTAAAAGCTTTTCGCGAACTGATTCAGTTGATGAAATAGCTTGAAATATTTCACAGTTGCTCAGCTCTAATAGCTTGTTAAAAAAAGTTCAAATTTTCGCGAAAAGATTCGGTCTACGAATTAACCTGAAAAAGTTCAAATTTTCTTAACTTGAAAAGCTTGCTTAGAAAACTTAAAGCTTTGCGCGGACCAATTCAGTTTGTGAAATAATTCGAAATGATTCAAAGTTTCATAGCTTTAAAAGCTTGCTTAGAAAACTTTAATTTTTTTCGGGATTCGATTTAGTACACGAAATAACTTGCAATATTTCGAAGTTTCATAGCTTGATTAGGTTGCTTCGAAAAACTTAAAGCGTTTCGCGAACTGATTCGGTTTATGAAATAACTTGAGAAATCTCAAATAGCTTAGCTCTAACAGCTTGCTTAGAAAACTTGAACTTTGCGTGGACCGATTCAGTTTGAAATAAATTGGAATAATTTAAAGTTTCATAGCTTTAAAAGCGTGCTTAGAAAACTTAAAACTTGCGGCACCGATTCAATCTATAAAATAACTGGAAATTCTTCAATGTTTCATAGTTTTAAACCTTGCTTTTTGCAAACCGATTCAGTCTACGAAATAATTTGGAAGAATTCAAATTTTCATAATTTCAAAAGCTTGCTTAGAAAAATTTTGATTTTTTGCGAACCGATTTAGTACACGAAATAACTTGCAATATTTCGAAGTTTCATAGCTTGATTAGCTTGCTTCGAAAAACTTAAAGCTGTTAGCGATTCGATTCGGATTTTGAAGTAATTTGAAAAATTTCAAAGATGCATAGCTCTAATCGCTTGCTTAGAATTTTTACAATTTGCGCCGCTGATTCAATCTATGAAATAACTTGAAGTATTTTAATGTCTCATAGCTTTAAACCTTGCTTAGAAAAACAAACTTTTTGCGAACCGATTCGGTCTACGAAATAATGTGAATGAATTCAAATTTGCATAGCTTCAAAAGGTTGCTTAGAAAAACTTAAACTTTTCGCGGACCGATTGAGTCTATGAAATAAAATGAATTAATTCAAAGTTCATAGCTTTAATATTTTTTTCAGGTAAACTTTAACTCTTCGCGAACTGATTCAATCTATGAAATATTTCAAAGTTTCATAGCTTGATTAGCTTGCTTCGAAAAAAAGTGAGCGAACTGATTCTGTTTTTGAAGTTCCATAGCTTTAAAAGCTAGCTTAGAAAAACTAACTTTAATTTTTTCGCGAACTGATTTAGTCCACGAAATAACTTGGAATATTTCGAATTTTCATAGCTTGAGTAGCTTGCTTAGAAAAATTGAAATTTTTCCTGAACCGATTCAGTTTATGAAATAACTTGAAATAATTCGAAGTTTCATAGCTTTAAACGCTTGCTTTTCTAGAATCGATTTAGTCCACTAATTAACTTTCAAAGTTTTACAATATTTCAAGTTTCATAGCTTGATTAGCTTGCTTCAAGAAACTAAAAGGTTTTCGCGAACTGATTCGGTTGATGAAATAGCTTGAAATATTTCACAGTTGCTCAGCTCTAATAGCTTGTTTAGAAAAAGTTCAAATTTTCGCGAAACGATTCGGTCTAGGAATTAACCTGAAAAAGTTCAAATTTTCTTAACTTGAATAGCTTGCTTAGAAAACTTAAAGCTTTGCGCGGACCAGTTCAGTTTATGAAATAAATCGAAATAATTTAAAGCTTCATAGCTTTAAAAGCTTGCTTAGAAAACTTTAATTTTTTCGGGAATCGATTCAATACACGAAATAACTTGCAATATTTCGAAGTTTCATAGCTTGATTAGCTTGCTTCGAAAAACTTAAAGCGTTTCGCGAACTGATTCGGTTTATGAAATAACTTGAGAAATCTCAAATTGCTTGGCTCCAATAGCTTGATTAGAAAACTTGAACTTTGCGCGGACCGATTCAGTTTGAAATAAATCGAAATAATTTTAAGTTTCATAGCTTTAAAAGCTTGCTTAGAAAACTTAAAACTTGCGGCACCAATTCAATCTATGAACTAACTTGAAATTTTTCAATGTTTCATAGCTTTAAACCTTGCTTTTAAAATTATAAACTTTTTGCAAACCGATTCAGTCTACGAAATAATTTGGAAGAATTCAAATTTTCATAATTTCAAAAGCTTGCTTAGAAATATTTAGATTTTTTGCGAACCGATTTAGTACACGAAATAACTTGCAATATTTCAAAGTTTCATAGCTTGATTAGCTTGCTTCGAAAAAAAAGTGAGCGAACTGAGTCTGTTTTTGAAGTTCCATAGCTTTAAAAGCTAGCTTAGAAAAACTAACTTTAATTTTTTCGCGAACTGATTTAGTCCACGAAATAACTTGGAATATTTCGAATTTTCATAGCTTGCTTAGAAAAATTGAAATTTTTCGTGAACCGATTCAGTTCATGAAATAACTTGAAATAATTCGAAGTTTCATAGCTTTAAACGCTTGCTTAGAAAATTTTCAACTTTTCTAGAATCGATTTAGTCCACTAATTAACTTTCAAAGTTTTACAATATTTCGAAGTTTC